TTTTTGTTGTTGATTACCCATTGTACTTGTTCCTTCTTGTTTCTAGGCAGTGCTTTGGCGACGGGCTCCACTGGGCTGGCTGTATGATCATTGTACTTCTTGGGCAACAGCGGCGCTTTGCTGTCCTGGATTTCTGCTACCATCTACTTAAAGTCCAGAAACATGATGGCAAAGATGAGATTATAAAAAATGTGGTATGTGAAAGAGACTTATACCATATGTGGAAGTTTCACAAAATAATCATACTTTGTACTTATTAAAAGGCCTTTTTGCAGAATGCTTTTCATCCCAGTACATAAGGTGACACCCACTGAAGCAGCTTTCTTTTCATTTCCAAAATGAATCTAAATATACTTGATAAGTAAAGCAGTCAGGCAGTTAAAGTGCTAATTTTTCCATTTTCTTTCTCTTTTTAGGGTACTTAGATCTGCTTCATATTATACAGCCTTATAGGATCTGCCTTTTTAGATTATTGGTGTACCATTCCACTCTTCTGGCTTCTTTTTTTGTGGCCAAAGGGTGTGGTTTTTGTTTGATTTGTTGGCTTGTTTGCTTGTTTTGGCTGCCTTTAGATCGTTTTCTCTTTGTCATTTTATGGATTCTTTGTAATTGAATTCTAAAAGTTCTCAGCCATTATCTTTTCAAATATTTTAGTTTTTTCTCCCATTCTCTCTATTCTCTTTTAGGACTGCAGTTACGTACCTGTTAGACATTCTTCTGGTTCCCTTACCCCTTACCATTTTAGTTTTAAAATTAGTTTCCTAATCCACAAAAGATTGCCAGAGACTTAGTGGTTTAAAATGACACCCATTCTTTCAGTTCTCTCAGTCAGAAATCTGGGTACAGCATGACTCATCTGGGTCCTTTATCATCTCAAGGCCAAAATTAGTGTATCTGTAGGGCTGTGTTCCTTTCTGGAGCATCTAAGGATGAATTTGCTTCCAGGCTCATTCAGGTGGTTGGCTGGACACAGTCCCTTGAAGTTGGAGGACTGAGATCCCCATTTCCTTGCTGACCATTAGCCCACATCTCAAGTCCCTCCCTCGCTTCCAGTCTTTCAACTTTTCTTTCTACCGTATCTCCTGCCTCCACCTAGAGAAAGTTCTTTTCTCATATTATTAGATTGGGGGCTCACCTGGAAAATCTAGGGTACTTTCCCCATTTTAAAGTCTATAATCTTAACTACATTCTCAAAGTCTCTTTTGCCTTGGAAGGCAACATGTCTATAGGTTCTGGGGATTGGGGCGTGGATGTCTTTGAGGGGCCATTCTAACTCCCATATCTTCATTTTCTTATCTCCCTGGTCTGTTCCCAGAAAAGTGTATTATTTAGTTAACTGATTCACTTCAGCTCTAATCTACTGTTTTTAATTTTGAATGAATTTATATTTAAAAGTTTGATTTGGTTCTTCAAATCTTGGTGGTAATAATTTTGTCTTAAATGAATTTTTTTTTTTTTACAAATTTCATGTATATCTTGTAATTCTAGTATCTTTTTATTATTTTATTTATTTATATGACAGAGATCACAAGTAAGCAGAGAGGCAGGCAGAGAGAGAGAAGGGAAGCAGGCTCCCCGCTGAGCAGAGTGTCCAATGCGAGGCTTTCACCCACTGAGCCACCCAGGTGCCCCTGTAATTCTAGTATCTGAAGCCTCAAAGGTTATCTAAAACTCTGAAATGTTTTGTGTGCTAGGTTTATTTGCCAGCTCTTGTCCAGTTGAACTTAGATTGCTTTTCTTTTCTTTAAGATTTGAGGGAGAAGAAAATTCAAGCAGATTGCACGATGTGTGGAGCCTCACATGGGGCTCTATCTCATGACCTTGAGATCATAACCTAAGCCAAAACCAAGAGTCAGACGCTCAACTGACTTCACGTCCCAGGCATCCCATGGATCCTAGGGATCCCATGGAAAAATCCCTAGATTTTTTTTTTCCTCCCTGGATTTTTATTTGCTTCTCATCTCCACAGACTGTTAACAAAATTGGAGTCACTTTAGAGGGGCCTAGCTTTATTGGGAGTTTCTAGGTGTAATCCCACTTGCTTATACCTCAGGACATCTCATCCCATTGCCACTGGTGCCATCTGTCCCTTAGGAGGTCTTGGCTTCCGCTTTACCTCCTGCATAGACAAAACCTGCAATGCTTTTTTTTTTTTTTTAACATTTTATTTATTTATTTGAGAGAGAGAGAGACAGTGAGAGAGAGCATGAGCGAGGAGAAGGTCAGAGGGAGAAGGAGACTCCCCGTGGAGCTGGGAGCCTGATGCGGGACTCGATCCCGGGACTCCAGGATCATGACCTGAGCTGAAGGCAGTCGCTTAACCAACTGAGCCACCCAGGCACCCCCTGCAATGCTTTTTAAAGTGTCATCTTGTGTATGTGTGTGTGTACATGCGTGTGTTCTTTATCCAATTCTGTTGTACTAGCATTCTTATCAAAATATCCTGTCGACAAGAACTGGAATCTAAGACTTATACTGGCATTTCTCCACTGACATTCTTTACATTCCCAGTTTTTAGTACACAGCAGCTTAATACCTATGTGTTGAATGAATAGGTATATCAGTTGTACAGGTAATATAGTTGGTAGCATGAAACCAATGGAGATATGTTTAAATGCAAAATATATTCATTGTTCCAATAGGTACATTAGAGAGATAGATATGTGTGCTAGTAGTTTGCTGTAATTTTTATGAGAAAATGTGAAAATCCTGCCATTTTGAAACATGAGTAAATGTACATATTTTGATAACAAACATCCTAATTTTAATTGTTGCAGCCATTAAAGAAGATGGTAGAGAGAATTCGCAAGTTCCAGATTCTAAATGATGAAATAATTACTATCTTGGACAAGTACTTGAAGTCTGGTGATGGAGAAAGCACCCCCGTGGAGCATGTTCGCTGCTTTCAGCCACCTATCCACCAGTCCCTCGCCAGCAGCTGAGGACATGTACATCATGTTTTCGAAGAGTCCCAGTACTGACTGCATTTAATAACTTTTAAGGGCATGTTTTCCTTTCCATAAACTATTTAGCAAGATTTTTAGGGACTATTTTTCCTTATCTGTGCCTGTTAAAGGGGGTACTTTTCCAATTTAAAAGCTTAATTTTATAAAATTGACTTATTTTTCTAGACTAAAATTGTATATGCTTTTGGTAATTAGAAAGTCTGAGAATATTGGCTGCTGATTGTTGCCATCATGTTCTTACAGAGTAATTTTCCATTTTTTCTATGGAATGTTCCAACAGCTAGCTATGTCAAATTGCTGCTGAGGTCATCCATTTATTCCTTAGCAAAGGATCAATAATGTTTGGGGAAAGATTTACGGACTTAAGAAATGTACTACCAGCTCATTGTAATAAAATGCACTACCAATTAGAATTAAACTTAATTATTTAGCTTTTGTTTGGGGATTTTTCTTGATGGATCTTTTATGAGTAACCTTTTCTAAGTCATTGTTCCCTTCCCTTTTTTGTGTCAGTGTTTCAGAAAATAGTGAACTTGATTCCTCTGCTTCTACTAAATCCAGTTGTGACAGAATTTAATTTGTAGGGCATGATTTAAAGGTTACAGAAATAAAACTAATAAAACTTATTTGTGTTTATTCATTTAGTATTGTGACCTTGTGCCCTGGGTGGGGCAAGATACTTTACTTATCTGCACAGACCTGGCCCAGGAGATCTAGTCTTGGTCACCTGCCACCTTTAAAGAAGGGACAAGATCATGATAGGGAGTAATTGCCATATGGCTTTGGAAATGGAACACTAAAATCCATCATACATGCTACTGAAGATAAAGTCTGTGAACTACTCCATTGGACTCTTTAACCTTGACTTACTATGAAACAGAACTGTTCATTACCAAGTTACCTAAATATGTTGCTTTAGGTAATGTGACTAACACTGGGGCCAGCATTCTGCCACAGACTGAGGGTAGTATCTGCTCACCCTATACTGAAGTATAGACTATGAGGAATTATGATTAATGCCTAAAATTAACTGATTCATATTACTAAATTCTCTAAGACCCCATTATAAACCAAATTTAAATATTTATTAAACATTAATGCAATTTCCAGTGCTATTAAGATGTTGAATTAAGGGGGCGCCTGGGTGGCTCAGTGGGTTAAAACCTCTGCCTTCAGCTCATGATCCCAGGGTCCTGGGATGGAGCCCCGCACTGGGCTCTCTGCTTAGCGGGGAGCCTGCTTCCCCCTCTCTGTCTGCCTGCTCTCTGCCTAATTGTGATCTCTGTCTGCCAAGTAAATAAATAAAATCTTAAAAAAAAACCTTATTAAAAAAAAGATGTTGAATTAAGAATTTATATTAATATATATATAATTCTGAGTGCCATATCACAGCCATGGGGGTGAAAATTGGTTCTTACTCTATTAGGTAAGAAGTACAGATATATAGTACATAAACACACAGTATATCTGTGATATTAAGATTACATGGGGGAGGCAATTAGAAAAAAAATGTCTACAAAGGCTACTTAGAGAATTAAAAAATGCTGGGGAAAGGGATTTTATTTTGTGAAACCTGGAGACCATTAACTCTGCCCTAATAAAGCCAGTGGAGAGCTGTGTGGCAGGACACCATCACTACAGTGTGGCTCTGGCAATCTCCTGGCAAGGACAGTGAGGCACCAGTGGTGACTGGTTACACAGTAAGGATCAAGCTGTATTACCTTGGGCAGGCGCAACACAATGGGAGCAAGCCCATGTTCTTCCTGCAACCTAGGTGGAAATGGTTTACTTTTTTAAACCCAGTTGATTGCTATGATGATAGGTTCTGAAGCTGGATGAAGTTCATTATACTAGTCTACCTTTTTTGCATACATTTGAAATTTTCCATAAACATTTTTTCATGGACATTTTTAAAAGACCAAAATATACAATGGTCTGAACAAACACTAAAGCAAAGTAAAATACTGGGTACAAAGAAACCGTATTTTATAACCACCTTGTTTGTTCTAAGCATTCAGACTTAGAAAAGAACTGTTTCAATTTGTCTTTTTATTATAACATGAGCTAAATTTAAGAAATTAGTCTTTTGACTTTATTTCCCAGAGTTGTTAGAAGATCTTAATGACAATATAACTCATTATGAAAATACACTGAAAAGTACAAGAGCTGATGTAAAATGGTAAATCAAGATTCCAAGTATCAAGGGATTAGAGTAAGTAAAGAATGAAACCAGTCAGGCTGCAGCCTGACATATGTAGGATGCACTGATTTAGCAAGGTGCCATCAAGGAATAGGAAGACCATCAAATGTGGGGTGATAAGTCACAGTGTGAGAAACATCTCCCATGGGGCAAGTTCCTACCCTTTATTGTTTGGTAAATTTGAGTTTTTCTTCATTTCATAACTTAGGATTCTCTTAAACTTAACATTTCAAAATTAAAAAAATTCATCAAACAGGAGTCATTCTTATAGGTAAGGTAAATCACAGGATAAGGTATTAGGAAAATTTTGTTCCTTTTTAAATCAAAAAGCCTTCAAATGGTCAGGGATTGATGGACTGGGGATGACAAATGTACATTTCAGATTTTAATTACCAATGAAAAAATAAAGCATTTTTATCGACTTAAAACTGTCAGTGCATTTAGATTGTGGTGAAAGAAAAATTTAAAATACCTCTATAATAATACAATGTTAATAGAAATTGGCCATGTACTGAGGTCATTTTAGTGAGCTACCATCATATAAATATAATAATTTCTTGGTCCAAATCAGTGAAACTTGTAAAAGATTGTCTCCAGAGAACATTTTTTGAGAACAATGCTTTTTCAGACACATTCTGATATTCAAATTCACTTGATAACACAATTACAGATTAGCCTTTTAATTACATTTTTCTTAAAAAGCTGTGAGATTTCCATTTCTTCGGGAGATATTTTCACCACTGTGTTGTTCAATTCCACAGGTCAAGCTTTCTTCATTATTATTAAGAACTTCATACATGTTAGAGAGATTGCCATTCATTGCTTTTTCGTCTTTTCGAAAAGACACAGGGAGACTTGCTAGACTAAAGCTGACGTCTTTAAAGGCATGCAACAAGAATATTCCCACAATGATTGTAAAGAAGCCACTCAAAGTACCAATGACATCATCAATAGGCATATCTTGCCATTCCTTAAAAAGGATAGCTGAACAAGTTAAAACTGATGTTGTAAAGAATACATAATATATTGGAGTCACAATGGAAGTGTTGAATATATCCAGGGCCCTGTTCAGGTAATTAATCTGTGTGCTCACACAGACTATAAGGCTCAGCAGCAGAATCCAGGCCAGGGGATGTCTTAGCACAGGTTTTCCAGCAAACAGCTCTTTGATAGCAATGCCCAGGCCCTTAACACAGGAGACTGAAAATGCTCCAATTACAGAGCAGATTGTTATGTACACAAGAATGTTTGTCTGTCCATGGCGAGGTCCCACCACGAAGATTAGTATCAATAACACAATGACCACAAGTGTTGCAAAGACCACAAAACCTGGGGGAGGCAAAGAAAAGTTGTATTTAGTCAAATGTGTAAGTACTAAAAAAAAAACCCCTGAGAATCCAAAACAAATATTAAATCAATAGGAAGGAGAAAAGATGTGACCTTAAAATAAATATTTTCTTCCTTTTGCTGCCCCAGCAAAAGTATACTCATAAAAATTTAGTTAGATGTATATACTGGAAGATTACACTATGCTTCATATTCATAAACTGTTACTAACATTTTTAACATCGCATTTTAGGGCTCATGATAATTAGATCACAGAAAATGGAGATGAGGCTGATTTGCAGCCATCCACTCTAGAATAGCTCACTACTTTCCACCCACTGGAATGCCCTAACTCCAAGAATGGAAACAAACTAATGGAGAGAAATCATGAGATGACCTTGAACACTCAAAAATTTACAGATGCTATAAAGAACAGCAGTTAAAATTCAAGTTTGTCCTAAAAGGAGTACGTTTCTCAAATTCTTAGAGACAACCACTGGGGTAAATAGCAAATCAGTAAGAGAATCAAAAATACTGTCAGGTTCTGGCTGAATGTGGAGAACTGAACCCAGCATGGTAATAGTGAACGATGGTGTAGCACCATGGCCCATCCACTTTTCTCAGCAATTTGCACACATTAAATCCTCACATTTAATCCTCACATCCACTCTATAATACAGATACCATCATATGCATTTTGAGATGAGGAAACTGAGCCACAGTAAGTCATGAATTTACTCTGTTCCCTCCTTAAACTCTGCCAATAAAATAAATAGTAATAGGAATCTTAAAGAAGCAAACATACAAAAACAAGAACAGGTAGAGGAGGTGATAGTAACAATATTATGGAAGCCAGAAAGCAGAAGAAAAACTCATAACTGTACAACACATCCAAAAAAGCCGAATCCCACATCAACAATGATGAAAGATGGGAAAGTAACTCAGCTTGCAGCACGGAACACTCCGAAGATACAATGGATCTCTGGAAGCGGGGTAAAGGAGAGACAGAAACAGGAGACCTGACTTCAAGTCTATTAAAGAAGCATTAAAATCCAGGAACTCTGCTCAGTTCTGAACATCTAAGGGACTGCCACAGCAAACTGGAGCACTCTGGCCAGCTGAGTGCGTAGGTAATACACTAAAACAGGGGGTTGGGGTAAGGTCTGTATCTGTGTTCATGTTCTTTCCCACTCAACTCCTAGGGCTCGGGCAGGAGGCTTTGCTGGGGATCTGACAAGTCTGATTTCAGAAGGCACCCAAGGTTCACCAGGAGAAGCACCAAAACAAGAAAAACACAAAACCTTTGTTTACTCGGTGTAGACAGAGGAAAACTTGGGAACACATAAATTGCCATGCCACAAAAATAATAAAAACTACTATTAATAAATCTTCAGAAAAATACTGATGAAATGCCAGAGCAATAAAAGCAGCTGGAACTTGAAAGATGAAAATCTGGAGAAAAAGATAAGATCAACACTCACCTCTGCTTTCTCCCTTGTGATGACTGCAGGGATAAGGACAGGCATAAACTCCAGCAGAAAGTGGTGACCTGGAGCTTGTGGAAGTGTCAGTAGACTAGGTAAAAATAAAAACGGCATTCTGGGCTGCCTAAGCAGCTGGGATACAAGGGGCCAAGATTCCAGAAAGGAAGGAGCTGAAGTGAAGTGGAGCCCAAATTTCTGTATGCAACGCCCCTTAAGGCATTTGTGGGAAGAGAAGCTAATATGCCTAGGTTTTTAGAAACCAAATAGACAGCCTGGTAAAAATGCCAGAGAGCGGAGAGAAGACACGTGCAGTCTTGGAATGCTGATACAGACACTGCCATTAAAAGTTCACCCAGGTGGATGGTCCAAGTAAACATCCCAGGGTATCAGCTGAGAGTCTATGATTAAGAAATACAGGCAAAATGGAAAGAAACCAGCCTCAACAAAGAGGGAAACAACACTTCAAGTTAAAGGTGATCCGCAGGGCGCCTAGGTGGCTCACTGGGTTACCCTGTATCAGGCTCCCTGCTCAGCAAGAAGCCTGCTTCCCCTTCTCTCTGTCTGCCTCTCTGTCTACTTGTGATCTCTGTCAAATAAAAAAATATTAAAAAAAAAAAAAAGAAAAAGTGATCTGTGGTACTTGTATCTGTCCAACAAAAAAAAATTTAGGTTTTTTCTGAAGGAATAAAACATCACTTAGAGCCTTTACACTTTTTAATATTCTATGTCCAGCATTTAATCAAAACTGCCTAAAGACAAAACTAAATGACTAAAGCAAAAGAAAAAACAGAGCCCACAAACAATCCCAATATTGAAGTTTGCAGAAATACTTTTAAATAACCAGGTCTCTTTGGGGACTTGCTGTACAACACAACACATGTGGGTAACAATAGTATACTGTACATCTGCAAAATGTTGAAGGTGAATTTCACGTTTTGTTTGGTTTTTTTGACACATACACACACAACCAAAGAGCAAAAGCAAGCTCTTGGAAATTAAAAATGTAACAGCAGAAATAAAAACTCAAAAGGGCTGCAAAGACAAAATTGAGGAAATCTCCCTGAAAGCAGAGCTAAAAAAAAAAAAAGCAGTAAAAACAGGAAGATGAAAAAAAATAAATATTATGTATTATATATATATAAATTATTATATATTTATATAATTATAAAATATATAAAAATATATAATGTAAATACACCCGTACATATACACACACATATATACGTATATACGCATATATACACTTACATACATACGTATACACATATATGTATATATACACACGTACATATATACACACATATATGTATACATATATACACATATAAAAATATATAACGTAAATACACACGTACATATATACACACATATATACGTATATATACACGTACATATATATACGCATATATATGTATACGTATATATATATAAAAATATATAATGTAAATATATATAATATATATACATATACATATATGTGTGTATATATGTACGTGTGTATTTACATATTTTTATATGTATATACCTATACATATATATGTGTATATATGTACGTATTTATATATATTGTGTGCACATGTGTATGTGTACATATGTGTATATATATGTACGTGAGTGTACATGTTCGTGCATGCACACGTGTCTATATGAAAAGTCACTGTATATTTCAGGAGGTCCAATCAACAGAAGAGTAAGAAGAATTTTACAAAGAGAAAAGAAAGAATATCAAAGAACAAATTTGATTTCCTAGAAAGACATTTCCAAATTTTAAAAAAATCCGTCAAATACCTAGCACAATGGATAAAAACTAGCCCACATCTAAGTACCTCAGTGGAAAATTTCAGATGATGAGGGCAAAGAGGACATCCTAAAGGTTGCTAAAGACAAAATATGGTTAACATATAAAAGATAAAGAATTGACTGTCATTTCTTAGCAACACTGGAAGTGAGAAGACAATTGAGTTCACATGGACTAAAGACATTTTTATATATACAAGGACTTTAAGTCTCATCTCTTCTGTGCCTTTCTTGTCTCCCACAATAGCAGCTCCAACCAAAATGAAGGAGCAAACCCAGGATTCAGAGCCAAGAAAAAAGTGAAGGGGATCCCTTCAGGATGCTGATGAAGAAAAGTCCACAATAACAAATGTGCAGGCAGCTCAACATACCAGCCTGGACTAAGGCCAAATAAGATTTTGGGAGAAATTTCCAGAAGAGATGAAACTGCAGAATACCTAATGTGTTTGAAATTACTGAGGGTAGAATTAAGACCACTGGAGTAGAATTTTAAGACAGATTGATAAATTCACAGAAAAGTGATCAAAAAAGATAATTATCAGTTAAGAAAAAACATAAACAAGGAAGGAAAAGTAGTTGTATATGTCTAAGCTGGGAATAAAAGCTATATAATGACTATAATGTAAATAAATCATTTAAACAAAAACAGGCAGATACAGTAGGTAGAAGACACACAGATGATGCCTAAAGCCAAGAATAGCAGCACTTTAAGCATGTTACTTAGAGACACAGAGTTAAAGAACAAAATAAACAAGGCATCTGGAGCTGGTAGGAGAAGAAAATGACCATTATTTTTCATAATAAGCCATGTAGAACAATTTGCCTCTTTATATGCACATAAAATTTTGGTTAAAATAAAAACTAAATTAAAAAGTAAAATGCTGAGACTGATAAAGCTTTTCTTGTTTCTTACCTGGATCTCCCAGCTTGTGAGACATTTCATTTAAAGTCTCAATCTCTTCTTCTTTCGGAGCATGAATGACCATAACTGTAGATCCTAAAATACTTAGCAAACATCCAATTTTCCCATGAAGATTAAGTCTTTCATTTAGAAAGTATGAAGAAAGAATGGCACTAAAATGGGGGAGGGGAGTGGAGAACATTAAAATTATCAACTACTTTTCTCATTTTTTAAAAATCGACACAACATAGAATTTAAATTATTAAAAAACTAAAACACTACAAACTTGTGAAGGTTCTCCGGCTTTCAGAAAAGGTAAAGAAAAGGCACATTCAATCATAAAATGGAAGTTTCCAGCAAAACAATGGAACACTAAACCAGTATAGTTCCCATATTTCTACTGTAGAAAATCAGTATGAAATTCACAATAAATGGAAGTGCAATACAAATTTATAATCTAACTAAGACTCTATGTCCAAACCAATGCTTAAAATTTACTCAACTTTAATTTATCCATACTGGTTGATGCAGCCTTTCTATGTGTTCGTGTCATTCTATATAATTTGCCTATTAAATGAAAAAATTTTAATACTTAAAAGCCAGTTTTAACCAAATCTAAAAAACATATAATGTAAACCTATAAATATGACATAACACACAGAAAATTAAGGGTAAAAGACATGTACCACAATGTATCTTTTATATACTAGATTATATAGTATCTTGAAAAATTATGTAACTTAAATATAAATACTGACTTATACACACACACACACACACTACCCTGGGGGAAACAAAGACTTAAAAAAAATCTATCAAAAACTTTGAGAATAGTAACCAAAATCAAAACTTCAATATGGGCTTTGCTGTTTGGACTAATCATTAAAATAATAGAAAAAGGACAAGTTTTGGACTGCTCCTTCCAAAGGGGTACCCCCAGAGCAGTCTTCAGAGGTACACAACCTTGCACCAATCATTGGTTTACTGTAGGTATGGAAACTGACTTATCACCAACCACCATTTTACCAAAGTGTCTGTGTCTCAAATGTTAAGTGCTGTGACAAGTCAAACTTGAAATTTTAAAAAATTGTAAAAAAAGCGAGACAAAGCATGGGAGCATATTTTCTGCTACAAATTGACAGCACGCCTGTGCACAAAAGAGAACCCTTTAAAAGCAATTACTACACAGCTTAAAAAAAAAAGTTCTCAAGATTGTTTAAATGTCAATTATGCTGAGCATGTGCAATTAGATGGCACTGAATGCTTTATGGACTAATATACTGACTACTGTTCCTACATAAGAAGCATAGCATCCTTACCTTACTAGGACGCTGAGAGCTCCTAATGGAGTCACTAGGGTGGCTGGTGCAAAGGCATATGCAGCAAAGTTAGCCACCTCACCGGCTCCCACTTGGAGATAGATAACAAAAGAAAACTCTCAGAACAAATCACTCAAAATGAAAATGCCTATATGTTATTTTCATATACAGTTGACCCTTGAACTTACCAGGAGTTTAAACTTTCAGGATCCACTCAAGTGGATTTTTAATTGCACTGTAAGTGTATTTTGTATGATTTTCTTTCCTCTAGTTTATTGTTTAGAATACAGTATATAATACTTATAACATACAAAGTAAGTGTTAACAAAAGCCTTTGCTAAGGCTTCTGGTCAATAGTATGCTAACAGTAAAGCTTCTGGGAGTCAAAAGTTATATGCAGCTTTTCAACTGCACAGCAGGTCACTGCCCCAACTACCATGCTGCTGAAGGGTCAAAGGTACATTTATATTTTTTATATGCTATTTCAATTGTATTTAGTAATTTCTTTATTTTTTCCCATCTACTCATAAGGGTTCTCCTGTAAATTATCAACATTAGAACAGAATCCAAACCAATTAGAAAAAATAATAATCTGTAATTTTAATTGAAGAGAACCAATTTATCTTACATATAATTTTTTTTAATTTAATAAATACTTATACCCTATCACAACAAACAGAAATCAATTAAAAGCAGCTAAAACTGTGTGAAAACATCTCTCCTAAGTCTTTTTCATTAGTTTGTTTTTTTTTTAACCCAACTCATATTTAAAAGACATCCTTAGGTACCTACAATGGGCCAGATGCTGTTCTAGGATCAGGAAACAGAGCAGTAAACAAAACAAAAATACTGTTCTCCTGGTGCCTGGGTGGCTCAGTCAGCTAGGCATCTGCCTTCGGCCAAGGTCATGATCCCAGAGTCCTGGGATGGAGTCCTGCCTCCAGGTTCTGCTTGTCCCTCTCCCTCTGCCCCTCCCCCCTGCTTCTGCTCACTCTCTCTCTCGTGCTTTCTCAAATATTTTTAAAAAATGAAAATACTGTTCTCCTAAAAACTTAAATTTTAGTGAAGGAAAATAGGCAAAATATATGTCAAGTACTTAACATGAAGTGTACAAAGGAATGGAGTGTTGGTGAAGGCAGCCCTGGGATCAGAGGTAGCCAGGGCCCCATGGTACACAACCTTTGTGAATCCTGATACAGATTTCATCTGAATTGAAAAGCCACTAGGGAATCTTATGCAGGGGAGGTAATCTTACAGAAAGATCACTTATGGCTACTGTATTTTCCAAAATGGTTATATCAAGTTTCATGGAGCAGAATTTGATAGCTCCCTTTGTCCCACTTGGTACAAAAAGTTGCTAATCTGTTAATGGAAAATGGAATTATTTTATTATTCTTTCCATTTGCATTTCCCCTTTTCATGTGTTCACTGGCCAAGTAAAATCTTTTAGTGAAGCAGCTGGTCAACTATTTTTCCTGTTGGGCTCTTAAGCTATTTGTTTTCTCTTACTCATATGAGGTAATTCTTTACATATTTCGGACATGAAACTTCCGTGGGTTAAAAACATCAGTCCTTTTTTTTTTTTCTTACTTTCTGTAATTTGCCTTTTCATTCTTTTATACTCTTGACCAGAAGTTCTTAATTTTAACATCAAATTTTAAAATATTTTCCTTTGTGGTAGGTGCTTCATACAAATTGTATGAGAATAAGTTTTTTAAAGATTTTATTTATTTATTTGAGAGAGAGAGATCACAAGTAGGCAGAGAGAGAGAGAGGGAAGCAGGCTCCCCTCTGAGCAGAAAGCCTGATGCAGGACTCGATCCCGGGACCCTGAGATCATGACCTGAGCCGAAGGCAGAGGCTTAACCCACTGAGCCACTTAGGTGCCCCAAGAAATCATTTTTATTTAACTATTCTTTAATTCCAGTATAGTTAACATACAGTGCTATTAGTTTCAGTGTACAATATAGTGATTAGACAATTCTATACATTATTCAGTGCTTAAGTGTACTTTTAATCTCCTATATTACCCATTTCTTGTATGAGAGATCTTTCTCGAAATTCTTTTAGTGTTCTACCTTTCACATTTAAGCTTATGAACCACCTGGAGTTGCTTTACGTATGGAGTGCAGTAGAAATCAAACTGTAATTTTTCCATTATGGATTGTTACAGCAATATTTATTGTAAAGCACATTTCCCTATTTCAATACCACCTTTGCAATAAACACACTGTGTGTGGGTGTTTTAGGGTTCTCCATTCTATTCTACAGGTTTATGTATTTTGACATGCTACCATACTGACTTAATTAGTGCAGCTTCATAATAAAGCTCGATGCCCGTATAGCAAATACTTTCACCTCTTACGAATATCTGCTTAAGGAAACAAAAGCAAAACTGAACTTTTAGGACCTCATCAAGATAAAAAGCTTCTGCACAGCAAAGAAAACAATCAAAAAACAAAAGGCATGGGACGCCTGGGTGGCTCAGTTGGTTAAGCGGCTGCCTTCGACTCAGGTCATGATCCCAGCGTCCTGGGATCGAGTCCCACATCGGGCTCCTTGCTCGGCGGGGAGCCTGCTTCTTCCTCTGCCTCTGCCTACCACTCTGTCTGCCTGTGTTCATGCTCTCTCTCTCCCTCTCTCTCTCTCTAACAAATAAATAAATAAAATCCTTAAAAAAAAAAAAAAAAAAAAAGGCAGCCCACAGAACAGTAAGATACTTTGTAAATCACATACTAACAAAGGGTTAGTATCCAAAATCTCTAAGGAACATACCAAACTCAACACCCAAAAAACAAATAATCTAGTTAATAAATGGGCAGAAGACATGAATAGACACTTTTCTAAAGAAGACATCCAGATGGCTAAGAGACACGTGAAAAGATACTCAACATTACTCATCATCAGGGAAATATGAATCAAAACCACAAGAAGATACCACCTCAAACCTGTATGATCTAAAATTAACAACACAAGAAACAAGATTTACTGAGGATGTGGAAAAAGGGGAACCCTTTTGCCTGTCGGTGGGAAAGTAAACTGGTGTAGTTACTCTGGAGAACAGGTTACAGGTTCTTCAAAAAGTTAAAAAGAGAACCATCCTACAATCCAGCAATTGCACTTCTAGGTATTTATCCAAAGGATACAAAAATACAGATTCAAAGGGGTACATACACCCCCCTTATTTACTGCAGCATTATCAACAATAGCCAATCTATGGAGAGAGCCCAAATGTCCATCAACTGATGAATGGATAATGAAGATGTGGTATGTATATACAATGGAATAGTATTTTCAACCATCAAAAAGAATGAAATCTTGTCATTTGCAATGACATGGATGGAGCAAGAGTGCATTATGCTAAGTGAAATAAATCAGAGAAAGACAAATACCTTATCTCACTCATATGTGGGATTTAAGAAAGAAAACAGATGAGCATAAGGGAAGGGGGAAAAGAAAGAAAGGAGAGCAGCTTAATGGTAGAGAACTGAAGGCTGACCAAGGGAGGTGGGTGGGGAATGAGCTAGATGGGGGATGGGTATTAAAGAGGGTACTTGTGATGAGCACTAGGTGGTGTATATAAGTGATGGATCATTGAGTTCTATTCCTGAAACCAATATTGCACTGCATGTTAACTATCAAAATTTAAATTAAAAAAAGAGGGGCGCCTGTGTGGCTCAGTGGGTTAAGCCGCTGCCTTCGGCTCAGGTCATGATCTCAGGGTCCTGGGATCGAGTCCCACATCGGGCTCTTTGCTCGGCAGGGAGCCTGCTTCCCTCTCTCTCTCTCTCTCTCTCTGCCTGCCTCTCCATCTACTTGTGGTCTCTCTCTGTCAAATAAATAAATAAAATCTTTTAAAAATAATTAATTAATTAATTAATTAATTTAAAAAAAGAGTTCGCTTTACTCGGACTTCTGTACTACCATACAAATTTTACTTATTTTTTTAAAATGTGTTTTGAATTTTTAGGGTAGTCTTTTTTTTTTTTTTTCCAATTTATTTGAGATAGAGAGCATGAGCAGGGAAGAGGGGCAGAGAGAGAGAGGAAAAAGCAGACTCCAAGCTGAGCAAAACTCGATCCCAGGACCCCAGAATCATGACCTGAACCGAAGACAGATGCTTAACTGAGCCACCCAGGTGCCCTACTGTACAAATTTTAAATCAACTTACCATCTGCCACATGACCACGTACAGTTTTAAATGGAATAGCATTTAACCTGTCACTATGGAAATGATGACTTTCCAATAATGAATCTTTCAACTCATGAAAATAATATATCCCTCTATTTGTCTTCTTTTTCTCAGTAATGATTTCATTTTCTCCACAGGTATCTTTCTCTTCTTTTGTTACATTTATAATTAAATAATTCCTGTTTTTAAAAATTATATGAAAATGGTACCATTTTAACATTTTTTTAAAGATATTTATTTATTTGAGAGAGAGAGAGAAGGAGAGCAGAGAGAGAGAATGAGAGAAGCAGACTCCCCACTGAGCAGAGAGCACAATGTGGGACTCGATCTCAGGACCCTGAAATCATGACCTGAGCCGAAGGCAAATGCTTAACGGACTGAACCACCCAAGTGCCCCAACATTTCATTTTCTAATTGCTGCTCGTAATGCAGCTTAGTTTTATACGTTGACTTTATATCCAACACTTAATTAAATCTTAGTTTATCTGTATATTCTTTGGAATTTTTATACAGGATATAAATATACAGGATATACAGGATATTTTAATACAGGATATTTTAAACAGGATATTTTACTAACAAAGTTACCTCTTAAACTGAGAATCTTAAAAAAACACATAGGTTTATCAGACATATTTCAATCAGACAGGTAAAAGAAAGTCTTCTCATTCAAATTAAATAAACTATTAAACTGCTAAATGACTTTTACTGGCTTCAATTTTATATATTTTGAGTACTATTCATTAAAAAAGCAAGGATTTATTTAAAAATTGTAAAAGTGCTAGAGGCACCTGGGTGGCTCAGTCGGTTAAGCAGCAGACTCTTGACTGACTCAGGTTGTGATCTTGGGGTGCTGGATTCCAGTCCAGCATCAGGCTCTGTGCTCAGCAGGTAGGCTGCTTCAGGATTCTCTGCCCCTCCCCACCCTTACTTGCTCTGTCACTCTTTCTCTAGAATAGATAAATCTTAAAAAATTAAATAAACAAATAACAATGTGCTAATAAGAGGCAGTATTAGTATGTGCAAATATTTTAATATACAACTATAAAATATCCTTGAAATGTTCTCTATACATACTTGATAGCAATCCAGCCCACCACAACCATTCTTTAAGATATGCATGGCCACCTTGACCTGCAAATGAAAAAGTAAAATTTAGCTTTTTTGGAAGATTATCAGACTCATAATTTATGACAACTACTAGCAATTACAGATTTTGAAATATCTCATTTGTTGATTATTATTATTTTGAATAAAGGTTCCACCATGACTGTGTAAGGGGATTTCTAAAATAATCTTTTTATGATTATCTTAGAAAAGGGGATGAGGATCATGACAATGTTAAAAATTTTTAGGTTTGCACTATACTGTCGAGTAAAAGAATTAAAATCAATGCTTATTTTCAGTCTATGCATCATTCTTTTGTTTTGTGAACTCAGCTTCAATAAACAAAGAAAAAGAACCAGTAAGAAGTAACCCAACTTCAAATAAATTAGTCTGAATGTGGATAAGCCATATAGGTGTGGGTTAGTCCCACTTATGAGGAAGTAACCTTGGAGAAGGGGTTTTATATTGACCATACATAAAAAGACTGAGCATTCATCACAGTCTGGAGCTGCCAGGATCCCCATCTTCCTATTTGACTTTCCTCCCAAAAAAATTAATAAAATCAGGAAGCAATTGGTACTTAAGCCATTGTCCAAAAGAAAAGCCAATGCAAATGAACCCTTTGACAATCATATCTATCATGGACAATGAGAGTACCTGCCTTAAGACAAGAATGAGGAATATACTTATTCAAGCAGCATATGCTAATACTTTCTTCTCTGCCCACTAACAGAGGCTACTATTTAAGACTGATTAGCTCTGGCCATAAAGATAGCACAGGAAAGAGGAAGAAGTTCGATTTTTTTTTTTTTTTTTTTTTTTTTTTACTGCCAAAGCAGGTCTTCCTGTGAGGTCAGAATCGGGTTTGGAACTAAAGCAGAGGCTGAATGACAGAACATGACCAGAAAGCAATATAATGCTGTCATGAATGCACCAAATGAAGTCAGAGTGGGGTTTTATCACACTGAGTATCCCCCAAAGTCTCATGACTTGTCAGCAGGACAAGTCTGGGGAAATAACCTATATCACCCTTCAGAAAAATCACTGAACAGAATACTCTTTAACCGTAGTAAGCCTTCTCTTTCCTTCATGTCAATTTGAGATCATCAGGTAAAATGTCTTAAGGTAAAAGTAAAACTTCAGTAACCTAGATAAAAAAATCCTAGGCTTCAGTAATATTCTGATTCTGTTCATAAACCCTTATCTCCTTCACTACAGACATAACAAAATTTAAAGATAAGGCTGGATGCTAATTTGGCCTTGGTCCCTATTTCCACTTTGATAATAACTGCAGAAGTTAATAGCTTATTTTGACATTGTCTCACTTTTAATTTTCCTCATCACAAAACTGATGTCTGATTCTCTATAAATATTTACAAGGCTTGCAAAGTTCAAAGTTTCAAATATACTAAGTAGGAACAAAGATATGGTTGTCTACCAACAAAGAACCTGAGTACACAAGCACACACTGATGTCATTTCATGGTCACATAGGACACAGCCTACCTGCTCTCATGGAGCCTTTCCTGGCAAGTCGAAGAAGACCTTTTTTTTTCAAAATAAAACTCCCGCCAATGAAAATGCTGGAGCTCATAGCCAATCCCAGACCAATGTAAAAGTCATATTTTCCACGGCCCTGGATCATTTCGTTTGTTACTAAAGAAGTTCTTGTGAATCACATTGATCACAAAACAGAGAAAGCACTGGTGCTGGAGGCAGGACTATGCAATCTTCAAATCTAAAAAATGCAAAACAAAACAAAACTTGATTTTTAAACAGAATGATGATAATCCATATGTAATTCAAAAATTTTACTCCACTTCTCCACTCATAAAGGAGTATTTTCATCACTACCATTGATAATATATTTACCATTTATAATTTACCACCAATGTAAAATTATATTTCTCATACTTATGGCAAAAGATGGGATTGTGATGTAAGGCCATACTTAAAAACCAAAATCATAAAATCAGAGAACAGACTGGTGGTTACCAGAGGCAGGGGTAAAAGGGTGACAAAAATGGGTGAGGGGGTAGAGAGGTGACAGAAATGGGTGAAGGTGGTAAAAAGATATAGTTATAAGTTTGGGGATGTTAATGTACAGCATGGTGACTACAGCTAACAATACTGTATTACATATTTGAAAGTGGCTAAGAGAGATCTTAAAAGTTCTCATCATAGGAAAAAAAATTTGTATGTGTGATGTTAACTAAACTTACTGTGGTGATCATTTTACAATATACATATAATCACTATGTTGCATACCTTAGCTAATACAATGTTATATGTCAACAATAACTCAGTAAAACTGAAAAAAAAAATAAAAATACAACTACTTTTATATGCCAATACTGTTTAAAATTTAAATTGGTTTTATGAACTCTAGTTTCATATTTAAATGTCTCCTGTCTTAGCTGACAGTTCCCAGTAACAAAACTTTGCTGTTAAGAAAAAAATTTCCACAGAATGAAAAATCAGGCATGAGAATATACAAATCTAGTTTATCAATACATTTACCAATTTCATGTGTCCTTTTTGAATAATGTATACAGAGAAGCTCGGAGTTTTCTCATGAATACACCTTCTTCTTAGAAATCTACGTAAACAAAGTCCTTCTATAAGGCCAGTATTACCCTGATCCCAAAACCAGGCAAAGAGCTCATCAAAATAGAGAATTATAGACCAATAGCCCTGATGAACATGGATGCCAAAATCCTCAACAAGATCCTAGTCAATAGGACCCAACAGAACATTAAAAGGATTATCCACCACAACCAAGTCGGATTTATTCCTGGGATGCAAGGGTGGTTCAACATTCGCAAATCAATCAACATGATAGAGCATATTAATAAAAGAAAAGACAAGAACCGTATGATTCTCTCAACTGATGAAGAAAAAGCATTTGACAAAATACAACATCCTTTCCTGATTAAAACTCTTCAGGGTGTAGAGATAGAGGGAACATTTCTCAATTTCATAAAAATCATCTACAAAAAGCCCACAGCAAATACCATTCTCAATGGGGAAAAGCTCTTCCCTTAAGGTCAGGAATATGACAGGGATGCCCACTCTCACCACTATTGTTCAACATAGTACTAAAGTCCTAGCATCAACAATCAGACAACAAAAAGAAAATGCATCCAAATTGCTAAAGAAGTCAAACTCTCTCTCTTCACAGATGACATGATACTTTACGTGGAAAACCCAAAAGACTCCAACCCCAAATTACTAGAACTCATACAGCAATTCAGCAATGTGGCAGGATACAAAATCAATGCACAGAAATCAGCTGCTTTACTATACACTAACAATGTAACTGCAGAAAGAGAAATAAAGTAATCAATTCCATTCACAATAGCAACAAAAACCATAAGATACCTAGGAATAAATCTAACCAAAGAGGTTAATATACTCTAGTAACTACAGAAGATTTATAAAAGAAATTGAGGAAGACACAAAAAGATGGAAGAACATTCCATGCTCACAGATTGGAAGACTAAACATTGTGAAAATGTCTATCCTGCCCAGAGCAATCTACAATTTCAATAGTACCCCTATTAAAATACCATTGGCATTTTTCAAGGAGCTGGAACAAACAATTCTAAAATTTGTATAGAACCAGAAAAGACCCCCAAATCGCCAAGGGAATGTTGAAAAAGAAAATCAAAGCTGGGGGCATCATGCTGCCTGACTTCAAGCTATATTACAAACCTGTGATCACCAAGACAGCATGGTATTGGCACAAAAACAGACATATAAATCAACGGAACAGAATAGAGAGCCCAGAAATGGACCCTCAAGTCTATGGTCAAGAATCCGAAAAATCAGGAAAAAATATCAAATGGAAAAAAGAGTCTCTTCAATTAAGTGGTGCTGGGAAAACAGCTACATACAGAAAAATTAAACTGGAGCATCTTCTCACACCACACACAAACATAAATTCTAAATGGATGAAAGACGTCAATGTGAGACAGGAATCCATCAAAATTCTAGAAGAGAACATAGGCAGTAACCTTTTAGACATCAGTTGCAGCAACTTCTTATGTCTCCAAAGCAAAGGAAACAAAAGCGAAAATGAACTACTGGGACTTCATCAAGATAAAATCTTCTGCACAGCAAAGGAAACAGTCAACAAAACTAAGAGGCAACCCATGGAATGGGAGAAGATATTTGCAAATCACATTACACATAAAGGGCTGATATCCAAGATCTATAAAGAACTTCTCAAACTCAATACTCAAAACACAAATAACCCAGTCAAAAAATGGGCAGAAGACACAACAGACACTTCTCCAAAAAACACATACAAATGGCTAACAGACACACGTAAGAATGTTCAATATCACCAGCCATCAGGGAAATACAAATCAAAACCATAAATAAGATTCCACCTTACACCAGTTACAATGGCAAAAATTAAAAAAAACAGGGAACAAATGTTGATGAGGATGTGGAGAAAGGGGATCCCTCTGACACTCTTGGTGGGAAGGCAAGCTGGTACAGCCACTCTGAACAACAGTAGGGAGCTTCCTCAAGATGTTAAAAATAGAGCTACCCTATAACCGGGCAATTACCCTACTAGGTATTTACCCCAAAGATACAGATGCTTTGATAAGAAGGGGCACATGCACCCCAATGTTTATAGCAGCAATGTTCACAATAGCCAAACTGTGGAAGCCAAAATGCCCTTCAACAGATGAACAGATAAAGAAGCTGTGGTACATACATACAATGGAGTATTATTCAGCCATGAGAAAGGATGAATACCCATCATTTGCATCAAAATGGATGGAACTGGAGGGGATTATACCAAATAAAGTAAGTCAATCACAGAAAGACAATTATACTATGGTTTCACTCATATTCCTTATGCAGAACATAAGGAATACCACGGAGGACCATAGAGGAAGGGAGGGAAAACTGAAGGGGGGAGAAATCAGAGGGAGACACACCATGACAGACTATGGATCCTGGGAAACAAAGAGAGGGTTTCGGATGGGGGGAGCATGGGAGGATAGCTAACGGGATGATGGGTATTAAGGAGGGGACATGGGGGGATGCCTGGGTGGCTCAGTCCGTTAAGCTGCTGCCTTAGGCTCAGGTCATGATCCCAGGGTCCTGGGATCAAGTCCTGTATTAGGCTCCTTGCTCGGCAGGGAGCCTGCTTCTCTCTCTGCCTCTGCCTGCCTGCCACTCTGCCTGCTTGTGTGCTCTCTCTCGGTCTGACAAATAAATAAATAAATAAATAAAATACTTTAAAAAAAAAAAAAGAGGGGACCATGGGTCATGATGAACACTAGGTGTTATACACAACTAATGAATTACTGAACACTAAACAAAAACTAATGATATACTGGGGTGCCTGGGTGGCTCAGTGGGATGAAGCCTCTGCCTTTGGCTCGGGTCATGATCCCAGGGTCCTGGGATCAAGCCCCGCATCGGGCTCTCTGCTCGACGGGGAGCCTGCTTCCTCCTCTCTCTGTGCCTGCCTCTCTGCCTACTTGTGATCTCTGTCAAATAAATAAATTTAAAAAATCGTTAAAAAAAAAAAAACTAATGATATACAGTGGCTAACTAAACATAATTTAAAAAATAAATAAAAAATTCTCTTGCATTAAAAAAAATTTATGTAGATAAAAGCAAATGGTAATTTATTTCTTATTTAGCCTATTTGGACGTATGCAGATTTATCATTCGTCTTTATCATTTTGTTAGCAGAGGATGATGATTCTAGCAGACAGAAATTTGCCAGGGTGCAAGTGTGATACTGACAGACTTTTCAGAGAACATGATGGCTATGGACCTAGAAGGCTCGAGCCACAAGACCAGATAGGAAGCAGAGGCTTACCAAAGACTGCACATTTTTTTTTTCAAATGGCCAACTCATGAACACTGCTAACAAATGAACTAAAGCAAAGTGCAGAAAGCAGAGGAAAAAACATTACTCAGCAACAAGGTTTAGGATTGGTTATAACTGACTACCAGCCCAACTTTCTGGTATTTTTAGTACCACAACTACTGAGTTCCAGAACTAATCTGCAATTCAGTAGGATCCTCACACATTAACCCTTGCTGACCAGACAAGTTTTTCTGTTCTTCAGGTTATGAGGTTCTGGCCTTTAGCAAAAGCAACTTCCTATTCACCTAGCCCCTCAATTATGTTATCCATTTACTCAAATAGTATTTACCAAACAAATGCTGTGTGCATTAAACGTGCTAAGCTCTATGGATAAAATAGTGATAGCTAAATTTTAGTCTTCAGTGGGGAGACAGACGAAAGGCAGTTAAATAATGGGTGATAATGTTCTGTAATAATGGAAAAGATATTCACACTGAGATGACATTGACAATGGGGCCAGTGTTTAGATTTGCCTGTTGAGTCACATTATGGTTCCTGGAACACTTCATAAGAACGGTCCTTCCCACCCCCACTCATTTGGGGCGTGGCCCCGTGGCTTACTCCAATAGGAGGTAGGTGTGACAGGACTGCCAGTTCTGAGTGTACATATAAAGAGAACCTTTGTATTTTTGCTTACCCTTTGGCACCCTTCCATTACGTGCAGAGCAAAACACAGAGTCATCCCTGCTGACCTAAAGACCTGTGAACACAATCACAAATGCTTATTGCTAAATGCTATTGAAATAGCTAACTTACATACCTGAATAGGCCTATTACGGGGTAAATATAAAATTCCCATCGGAATTTTGAAAAGCCAAAACTTGTCTGCATAAATGGGGATCAGTGGTAAAGATGGGTGGTAGGCACACCCAGGGTTCACTGTATCGTTCTCTCTACTGCATGTACTATGTATGTCTGGACATTTCCATATTAAGGTTTTTAAAACACAGACTGTTTCCCAAGAGTTGCAAGGACGTCAGGGCAGAACCGACTAACAAGGGGCACCTATGTGGCTCAGTCCATTGGATGGCCAACTCGTTTGATAATGAGTTCAGGCCCTGTGCTGATGTGGAGCCCACAGGAAGGGAGAAGGGAAGGAGGAAAGAAAAAAAGAAACCCTAACAATCTGAAAAGCAAAGTCACCCCACAATCTAGAACAAGATAATACTGAAACGTGGAAAGAACTCAAGTCAGGGAGGTGCTCTGAGCTTTTTAAGTATCAGTCACAATACGGATGAGATTAGCTGTCTACTTGACACCTTTCCAGAATCAATCCCTCTTACAATGTATTTGGAGAAGTACCCCCAATCCTCTTAATGCCATCTTAAAGCAAGAATATGCATTCAGGAAGTCTAGTGGGAAATTTGGAGACTCAGTCCTGCCTCTAGCTGGGTGCATGACCTTGAATGAGTCACAACCTTAACATACACACTAACAAAAGAAACTAAACAATCTATAAAGTTACTACTGATTTTTAAATTTAAAATAAAATAAACTATGGTCTCTTTATATGCCAAACATTGGTAACCTCAAGCCTCATCAGCCTGCCTCTGGAATAATTCTGGACTGTGACAATCAGTATGGATGAAGACATAAACTTGCAGTGAAAGTAGGAGGCAGATAATTTGGGAACAAAATGGTTAGCAGCAAGAATTACTTATATAGGGCGCCTGGGTGGCTCAGTGGGTTAAGCCGCTGCCTTTGGCTCAGGTCATGATCTCAGGGTCCTGGGATCGAGTCCCGCATTGGGCTCTCTGCTCGGCAGGGAGCCTGCTTCCCTCTCTCTCTCTCTCTGCCTGCCTCTCTGTCTACTTGTGATCTCTCTCTGTCAAATAAATAAATAAAATCTTTAAAAAAAAAAAAAGAATTACTTATATAGACTATAAAAAGACTATTAAAACAACAAGAAAGTGTGTTTACAGTGTTCCCACTACATCTAAATGACTGGCTTAACAGTGTTTACGACCCAGTTTCCCTCACCAGACTGCCAGCCCCTAGACTCGTACAAGTCACCTTTTTAATCCTGTGCACCTAGCTATCTGGCAGTCTCAAAAACGTATTTTAATATATGTTTTCTGGGTTAATATAGACAAATGGAAATAATTATAACTAGCCCTAAAAATAAAGCTGTGTCATTTAGATCAGCATCTTAAGATGTAACAACCTTCTTACAGCCCATAAACTTCTTAAAGCTGTAAAAAGTTGCTCAAGTATGTTGGGAAGTGATAGCACTACATACAAGTGAAAATGAAAATAATAAAATCTGGGAAAATGGGAGTAAAACCCAGCTACCAAACACTGCACCCCACTCTCTATTCCAATGACCATGGGTCACCTAAGATTCTTCAAAGCACACCTTAATGTAAAATCAACTCCTTTAACTATTATCATCATCAAGCAATGTTAATTATCATGTGAATTCTACTGAGGAAATGACTACTACTTAAAGTTCCTTGATCTATAAAATTCCCCTTTTGAAGGTCTGAAGAAAATGAACTGAAGTGTAAGTCTGAATATTCTGGAATCAATAAAATGTAACTTTATTATCTGCAAAAATGATACCCAGAAACAAGTCAGGTTTATCTACAATTCCAATCCCAGTATAATGATAGCCTCACAAATCCAAATTTAGACTGTACTTACATAAACCTGACTTTCAAATACCAAATGTGTAACTATTAATTTAGTAATATTTAATTTATTAACACTTAATGTTAACTTGCACTATGTGCAAATTACATACATGCAGTATAAGGTCAAAAATTAAGATTCAAGCTATTGGCAGACTCAGTCAGCAGAGCATGCCACTCTTGATCTTAGGGTTTTGAGTTCAAGCCCCATGTTAGATGTGAACCTACTTAAATAAATCACTCCCTTTAAAAAAATTTTAAAAAATAAAGATCCAATATTCTGTGCTGCCTTGACATCAGGTAAAATGGGGAGGGCTTTTAATGGCCTGATAATGAGGTCCCCTCCCCACTCTGCTCCTGTAGATAAGGTCCCAGAGCCAAATACCTTCCTTGGCGTACCTGGCTAGCTCAGTCAGTAGAGCCTATGACTCTTGCTCTTGGGGTCATGAGTCTGAGTCCCACTCTGGGTGTAGAGATTACTTTTTAAAAAGAGGCTAAATAACCCTTCTTATTGTGGAGACCTGGCATATTTCCTGCTTATATCCAAGTACTAGGCTTCACTGCCCTCCCAGACTATAGAATTATTTTAAAGCAAGCCAATCACATTCTCCTGCAGGATCCAAGGGGTGCACCTCAAACACTTGTTACTCAAGGCCTACATTCCACAGCAACTCATTCTTTACTCTGCAGTCCCCCACCACCACCCCTTGTGGCCCTGTGCAATGTACCATGTCCTTCTGCCTGGGCTAAGTGAGATTAATAAACCACCTCACTCTCATGTACCCAATGTCATGTGCCATGGGGAAGGAATTCTAGCCCTATGAATAAGGTGAAAAAGAGGTGATTAAAACAATACATTATAATAGAATCTTATTCATTTTATCTTAAAGTCATTGAAAGTTCATTGTTCTTAACATGTACCTATGTATCCCTATATATGAATTTTCTCCGTATTTATTTTACATAGAATTTCATGATGCTATTTAAAATCTATTTTCTTCTTTTTACCTATTCAATGTATTTATTTATTTGTTTGACAGAGAGCAAGAGAGAGAGAGATCACAAGTAGGCAGAGAGGCAAGCAAGGGAGGGCGGGGGGGCGGGGTCAGGCTCATGACCTGAGCCAAAGGCAGAGGCTTAACCCACTGAGCCACCCAGGCGCCCCTTCCTTTTATCTATTTATTATAGAAAATTTTGAACACACAAAAGTAGACAGAAAGCCTTTTTTGACAGGTTGGTCAATGTTATGCTAGTTTTGGAGAGTTGCAACAATCCCACTCACTTACCAACACAGGACCAAGGCTCCCTTCAGACAAGTATCATCACTGCCCCTGATACACCACAGCCCTCCTGTCCTCCCAATAAAGCCTGCTCTTCACTCAACACCAGTTCACAAGTCAAGCTGTGCTACAAAGACTTCTTCATTAGCCCAAAGGCATTTCTTTCCTTTGCACTTATTTTTAGTCAGCCTTATAAAATTAAAGTCTCAATTACTCTCCTATCTTTGAAGATAAAAGGTACTTAAAGCAATGACTTTGGTTCGTAGTGGTGGTTTTCCTACCCCACAAAAGGTACTCATTTAAGTGGCAAATCTGATTTCTAAGCCTTTATATAATTAAGGTTATCTGTTTGTTCACTCATGGAACTATACCAGTGTGGTGGTGGGCAGAAGGGGGTGGGGGTAGGGACAAACAACATAGAACCTGCAAACCCTCAAATTATAAAGCAGTCTTCACCACTAAACTAAGTAAATTAATTTTCTCATTTGTTTGAAAATAGGACATCAGCGTGAATGTCCTAAAAGGAATGAGTTTGCTTCACTATTCTCAGATCTGCTCCCACTCTAGAACTATAAAGGTCAATCACAGCTGGGAGAGCCTAAAACAGATTATCTTTTATTCTTAAGGATTAACTATGAAGTAGGGCCAGGTTTAAGGGCAGCTAAACAAGAAAACTTGCTAAGTTTCACTTCAACTATTTTCCTAACCCAGAGAGAACAAGCTCCAGATGGTAACCTGCCCATCTTACCTCTCAGGGGGACATAGGTGGAAGGACCCCTCCCACACTCCTCCCCTCCAAGCTGTTGTTATTACTTACATGTGGCCATCTGTTCAATATGCATATACGGGGCAGCTCTAATGTGCCAACTTTGTAGTCATAAAGATGATCACAAGTCCCTGTCCTCAAGGATTCCACAGCTGGGTGAACTGAAAACTCTGAAAATGACCCATTTTAATTTTAAACAAAATTTTAAAGGCTTAGAATTTCCAGCTTGTTCGGGGCGCCTGGGTGGCTCAGTGGATTAAGCCTCTGCCTTCGGCTCAGGTCGTGGTCCTGGGGTCCTGGGATCGAGCCCCACATCGGGCTCTCTGCTCAGCAGGGAGCCTGCTTCCCCTTCTCTCTCTGCCTGCCTCTCTGCCTACTTGTGATCTCTCTGTCAAATAAATAAATAAAATCTTTAAAAAAAAAAAAAAAGAATTTCCAGCTTGTTCTTTCTAAATTTTAATTTTAATTGAATTCTCATAGCTTATTTTACTAATATTTATGAATATTTATGTTAACTTTCACTAAATACAAGTTACATTGAAAATGAAATAAATAAATTTTAAAATAAAATTCTGAAATTGGTCTAATTCTAAAACACAGAGAACACATAACTTAAGGAACAGGAAAAAATAAACTAGTATTCTAACATCTATAAGGTAAGCTGAAATTAAGATTTGCTTTGCAAAATGACTAACAATAGGCAACACAATTACCAAAATTTGATAATTTTTAAGAATATACCAACAGTCGGGACGCCTGGGTGGCTCAGTTGGTTAAGCAGCTGCCTTCGGCTCAGGTCATGATCCCAGCGTCCTGGGATCGAGTCCCACATCGGGCTCCTTGCTCAGCAGGGAGCCTGCTTCTCCCTCTGCCTCTGCCTGCCATTCTGTCTGCCTGTGCTCGCTCTCTCTCCCTCTCTCTCTCTGACAAATAAATAAATAAAATCTTTAAAAAAAAAAAAAAAAAGAATATACCAACAGAAATACATTTACAGCTTTAAACTTGTCACAGCATTTTTACCATTTCATTTTCACAAAAACTTGAAAAAGATACATGGTGAGGGCCCCATGATTAGAAAACAGGGACAAAGGTATTAAGCAACTTCAGCAGCTGGATTCTCCTTATTTGCCTTGCCCACTGGAGTCTCCATTTAGTCTCAGAAGTGGAACACAAGCAAGTGGCAGCTCCAACCAGACTTTCCATGTAGGTCATCATCTTCCTCCCCAATCTGTTCCTCCTTGTATTATGACCATGGCTTCTCCATCCTCATTACCCAAACTGGATACAAGGGCCAAGAGTGCTAGATGGACTACCTTTGTGAAATACAGCCTTGCACCTCCATGTCTCTCCCAATGCTCATCCAGCTTCAATAAATGATGCTGTCACACTGCTCTATAAAACCCATCTGTGCCATCTCATTCTCTGGCTACCCTTTGTTTAAAGAAAGAAGCTCAAATTTTGTAATCCACTAAGACCTTTCACTATTTGTTCCAAATCTAACTTTTGAATCTTATTTCCCAATACTATATTTCATATACCTTGTATTCCACCCAAGGTCAACACACCACTCCCATTCTTACTTACTCCTTTTCGTCCTCCCTATCTTTGTTTACATTATTCCTTTCATCTTTAAGGAGCCAATTCAAAAGGCACCTCCACAATGAAGCCCTGCTTGAAATCTGCAAGCCAGATTAACCAACCTTTTCTGAATTTCCTGGCCTTCAACCTACACTTCTCTTTGTACATTTTCCTAGCCTGTATTACAGTTACTTATATATATTACTTATATCCATTTCACTGTGGGCAGGTGCTTATCTCATTTACTCAGCCAACAAACATTTACATGAATACATACTATGCACTGGGAATGGGGATATAGCAGTGAATAAAACAAACCAAATTAATGCCTTCATGGAGTTTACCTTGTGTTGGAGGTAGGGCAAGACAATAAAAATAAATGAGAACATTATTTTAGAAGGTGGTAAATGCTATGGTTAAGGGCACTGGGGAGTTGGGTTAGGGGACTTCTATTTAACCAACGAACTAGGTTGGTTAAGAGGCCTAGTGGAGAAGGTAACATTGAGCAAAGGCTTCAAAGAAACAGGAAAAAGAATAAAGCAGAGAAAAAAATGCAAAGGCAGAGAGGTATGAACTGGTATGCAGTTTTCTAGGAAAAGAAAGGCCACTGTGGCTGACACTGAGCGAACAAGGGTAAGTAGGATACCACTGCACGGTATTTTTATATAAAACAAATATCCTAAAAATAAGTGTAATTCTTTTAATATTTCTAATAGTAATAGCTACCACTTACTGCACACACCTGTGAAGCACTGTTCCAGGTTACTGAATCACATTATTTCTAATACACGCAATGAGAAGAAGGTATCATTATCCCCACCTTACAACTAAAGAAACAAAACTTCCATGAGGTTAAATCACATGTAGAGGAACACAGAGAAAGTTACACAGCCTGAAACAGAACCTAAATATCCTGGACTCTATTTCTATATGGGCAGCCCACACTGAAGGAAAACTTTAAGAGCTCTTAATCTTTACTTCTGTTTGGTTTCCACTACTTTAATATTTCCAATCTCTTATTTAGCTCATTATTTTTAAAAGCAGTACTTATAAATACTACAGAACCTAAATCTCCAACCCTAATTTAGCAACATTAGTTATAAATTAAAATTTTAACTTACATGTAACTTTAATATGGTCTCTTAGGAAAAAAAGTCTGGAAGCAGTCAGAGATGACTTATTCACTTTCATTTCCTTGTAAATAATACTCTTTATTCTCATTTACAGTTTTAAACCCTGACAGAGTAGCTCCGGCCTGGAAAGAAGAAAATACAGGAGTAGGCAAAAGGACTACATAGTTACTAAATACTTAAAAAAACTGGCTACTAGCCTGCATACTCGTTTTACTTACCAACGTGAAACCTACTCATCCAAGGACAACACACTGCTTCAACAGATAACTTACTCCAATGAAACAAATATCTCTATTCTTTCATATGTCCTTTTATTACTTTTAATATTGCCTTTATTACTAGTTAGGCATATGGCATATAGAGGGTTTCTAGAAATACAACTAAAACATAATCCTGTATTAAACGAACTGAAAAACCTAGTGAAGAAACTAAACAGACACAAACACAAAACTAATAAAGTTTTGTACAGTTGTAGGGAGAGGAAGACAGGATTAAGTGACTTTATAAAAGTTAGGAATTAAAACAGTTATGTTCAAAACGTTACGGCAGACTCCTAAGGCTTGTTCAGTTGTCAGTTAATTATCTCCGCAGTAGCTGAAACAATCTAAAACTCACCACAACAAAAAGGAACTATTTGAATGAGCTTAATGAACACGCGCCCGATACGGCCAAGTCAGGCTTCCAAGGGATTTAATAGCAATCCAATTCACGGCGGGATTACTCGATGCAGGATGAGAAAAAGCCCTTCCATTTCTGAACACACGTGTCCCCAGGGCAGAGAAAAGCGCCCCTGAAGGGCCCCTACCAACCCAAAACCGGCAGAGTCGCCCAGTTAGCCCCTTCGCGCTTGCCTGAGAGAAAGAAAGAAAGAAAGAAAGAGTGGCCACCTCACCCCAGCTGGAGGCCGGCCATGCGGCTTCCCCTCCACTATTTGGCCCTGGTCACCTCCGCTTACACGCCCACACAGGCCGCACGGGCCGCCGCCTCTTGAGCTCGCGCGGCCAGCGCCTTCGTCGCCGTACAGAAGGAGGTGAGAGCATCCGGTGCTGCAGCCGTGAGCGCCGCCTCCTCCATGGGGGAGCGACGAGGAGAGCCTGCCCCGGACGACCTGCGACCCCCGCTGCGGTCAGGACCAAGGGCCGTAGCGAAGAGCCTGGGCGCGGCCGAGTGACGCAAGAGACAGCGCGCGCACGCGCAGTGCAACGCAGCAAAGGCCCGCCTCCGGAGCTCCTTCCGGTAGATTTCCGGTTTCTTTAGCTGGCCCTGTATAGCGGGGAGCAAAGAGAGGAGGGTGGAGGACGGGACAAGGGAAAGAATTGGAGGCAGTATTTTGCAAAGTAGGTTCGCCGACCAGGTGATCCAAATCAGAGTAACTGCCGCTTTCTTAAAGTGCGACTTCCCAGGCGCATTTAGCATGTGAAGCTGCATTTTAAGCAGTGTCCCTAGCAATCCCCTAGAGAAAAGGTGCTCCGAAAGGGGCAAGCGGTGGACTAGAGCTGGGCCAGGAGGCTGGGAGAGGGGCGGGAAAGCGGAGTGGCGGGGCTCAGTGTACGGCGCTTTCTTAACTAACCGAAACCCAGAAAGATGCGTTCTTTGGGAGAGTTACGTGGTTTGGTGAAAGCGCGTCTGGAGACACTTGGAGCAGAGATGTATTTTTCATGAGATGCATAGGAAACTTACTGTTAGGCTATCCCGCCTTGGCTTCTCCATTGGAAAACTTCCCTAGGACCCACCATCATGGTTTTCTCTAAAGATTTATTTTAGAAACAGAGCGCCTACACATACCAGGCAGGCAGAAGGGTAGGGAAAGAGAAAATCACATGCACTAAGCCGGTCCTGGGGCTCAGTTTCAGGATCCTGAGATCATGAGCTGAGCTGAAATAAGAGTCTGAAGCCCAACCGATAGAGCCTTCCAGGCACCCTGGTTTTCTCTAAAATGGCAGAGAGAGGGGTGCCTGGGTGGCTCAATCGGTTGAGCATCCAACTCTTTTTCTATCAGGTCATGATCTCAGGGTCCTGGGATCCATCCCGGCCTTGGGCTTTGCACTCAGCTGGGAGCCTGCTTGAGAATTCTCTCCCTCTCCTTCTGCCATGCAGCTGGCTTGCTCTCTCTCTGAAAAGAAGTAAATAAATCTTTTTTTTTTAAAGTAATAAAATGGACAAAGAGGGCTCATTTTTAAGAAGGCGGGTAGGGAAAAGGGAAGGTATGTGAGGGCAAAAAACAAGCCAGATCAGGAGTGAGACCTGTTAATAATATCTCAGTTACAGGTGCCAAGGTCCTTTGGGTATGTTGTTCCAGTTTCTGAGTAGATACAAAAACACTAGAAATGTAAATCATGTTAGGTGGGAATATTTTTTAAGTGAATGCTTGTTGAACCAGAAAATAACAAATACAGTTTGCTTTTCAGACTAATTGGAGTAGGCACCAACCTCCGGTTTCATTATAGGTGACTGTGCACCTACTTACTTACTTATTTATTGCAGTTACTAATTTAAAAACTTTTAATCTGTGAGCTTGGTAACCAGCCAACCTTGCATTTCGAACTGGCTCAGAGGACTTTTTTTGCTTAATTCTTTGGTCTCAGCCAAATTCTAGCTAGATTACATAGTCAAATAAGGAATTACATAAAATATTGAAAGATGGTTGGCATGTTGGTCTCTGATGTTATAGTAAATTGATGAAAAATGGCTACATTTCTCTACCCATCCATGTGTCCACACATCTTGCAGAGTTACTTTGCAGTTCCACCCCATCCTGATTCTGCCTTGGCCGTGGGATTGGTTTTGGCCAAGAAAATGTGGTGGTTCCCAGCCTAAATTATGCTAAGAAACCTGGACTAGTTTGCTGGAGGAGACTACATAGAACAGACTACTTACAAAGCTACCCAGATTAAGCATACGACACCAGAGACTGATCTAACAACAGACTGATTTGATTGGTTGAGGTCCACAAATGTGCACTGTTGATCCACAGACATATGAGAAAGACTAAATGGTTATTGTTCTAAGCCACCAGTTTTGATAGAGATGGTATGTAGCAATAACTAACAAGTGCCATCAGATACATGTAGGACGCAGATGATTGCAATGAAAGTAGTGTTTAGTTTGTGTGAATAAGAATGCTTAGAAACTGGGCATCTGGGTGGCTCACTTGGTTAAGCGTCTGCCTTTGGCTTGGGTCATGATGGGGTTCTGGGAAGGAGTCCTATGTCAGGCTCTCTGCTCAGCAGGCAGCCTGCTTCTCCCTCTCTCTCTCAAATAGATAGACTCTTTTTTTTTTTTAAAGATTTATTTATTTATTTGACAGACAGAGATCACAAGTAGGCAGAGAGGCAGGCAGAGAGAGAGGAAGGGAAGCAAGCTCTCTGCTGAGCAGAGAGCCTGATGCGGGGCTTGATCCCAGGACCCCAGGATCATGACCTGAGCTGAAGGCAGAGGCTTTAACCTACTGAGCCACTCAGGCACCCCTCAAATAGATAGACTCTTAAAAAAAAGAAAATGCTTACAAATTATGTTAACCTAAGGAATTTGCTTGAGGGTCTTTTCTGCCAGTATTCTAATCATCCCGGCAAAGCCCTGTCTCATCTAATCAGCTTTCTCTCTTTGTTGTAGCTCACAGTCTCCTCTCACATTTATTTGGACCTCCCACTTAAGAGTCACATTACACAGTACATTGTTTTTATAAGTGTATATAATATACCTGCTAACATTATGCACGCTCCTTCAATGTCCAGACCACTTCTCCAGCACACAATGTTACACAACTTACATAGTGTTCAAGCATTGACCATAAATATTTTTACATTTTTAAAAATCCATTTCCTTTACATATACTGCTGTTGGGATTATAAAACAGTGCCCTTGGAAGACAGTTTGGCAGTTCCTTAAAAAGTTAAACATAATATCAACCATATGACCCAGCTTTTCTATTCCTAGATATTTACCCAAGAGAAATGAAAGCATATATCCATTAAAAGACTTGTAAATGAATATTCAATAGCAACTTTATTTGTAATGTCTAAAAAAATGGAAACAACTCAAATATCCAATAAAGCAAATGTGGTATATCCATATAATAGAATACCACTGAACAATAAAAGGAATGAACTGTCAATACATGCTATAACATGGCTAATTCTCAAAATAATTTTGGTAAGTGAAAGAAGCCAGGCTGAAAGTATATAATAAACAATTATATGCTTCTATAAAATTCTAGGAAATGGAAGGTAATATGTAGCAACAGAAAGTAGATGGGTTGACTGGGAGTAAAGGAGACAGAGCAGAAGGATTACAATGGGGCAAAAAGAAACTTTGAGGTGATGGATATGTTCAGTTTTACTCATGGTGATGCTTTCATCCTATAATACAACATGTATTAAAACCTACCAAATGTATATTTTACATATGTGCAGTTTAGAGTATGTTGATTACACCTCAATAAAGCTGTGAAAATCTTTGTTATAGAAGTATAAGCAAGACTTCTTTAATAAAGTGTTTTTAAAAATCATGTAAATCAAATAGTTTCTCATATATAAATTGTTCTTTAGTTGCTCTTCTATGTTTTGGTTTTGTTACCACAGAGGCCAGCCAGGAGCATAACAGCAAAATAGATTATTATTTTTTCTTTAGCTCAACTCCCTATCACTAAATTTGCCTTTTGTCCTTCCAAAGTAGATAGTGGCATTTTACATACGTATGTATGTATGTATTTATTTTTTTTAAGTTTTTATTCAAATTCCAGTTAGTTAACATACAGTGTAATATTAGTTTCAGGTGTACAATATAGTGATTCAATACTTCTACACATCACTATGTGCTCATCACAATAAGGGCCCTCCTTAATCCCCATCACCTATTTAACCCATCTCCTCCCCCACCACCCACTTCCCCTCTGGTATGTCTTGTATTTTAAAAGGTTAGTATTATATAAATGTTTTCCAACTAATATTATTAAGTTTACTCAAGACCATAGATGACTTAGAAATGTAGTAGGGCATTTTCCAAAACATTTGTTGGGAGGAGAGAGGAAATTTCTATGAAAAAGACAGTAATAACTTGAAGTAAATTTAGGTCGAGTACTAGGATGTCCATTAAAAGCCAGGAATTGGCTTTTAATAATTACCTCATTTAATAAAAAGGTGAGTGGATATGGTAGGCAGAATTATGCCCCACCTTCTAAAGATGTCCACAGTCCTAACCTTCAGAACATGTGACTGTTACCTTACAGGCAAAAGGAACTTTGCAGGCATCATTAAATTAAGGGTGTCAAGATGGGGAGATAATCCTTGACGTCTAAGTTGGTCCAAAATAATCACAAAGGTCTTTATAAGAAGAAGAGTCAGAGAATGAGATATGAACAGAAGAAGGGTCAGAGAGGTGCAACATTGCTGGCTTTGAAGATGGAGAAAGGAGAATGGACCAAACAATGTGCAAGGCCTCTACTGAAAAAGGCAGAGAACAGATTCGTACTAAGAGCTTCCAGGAGGAATATAATCTTGCCCACACCTTGATTTTAGCCCAGTTAAATTTGTGTTGGATTTCTGACCTTTGGAACTGTAAGATAGTAAATTTGTGTTGTTTTAAGCCAAAAAGTTGGTGGTAATTTGTTGGAGCAGCAATAGAAAAACAATACAGTGAATAAGCATACCAAATTAGAGTAAGGAAGACACTAAGATCCCCCAAACATCATCGTTAAAAATAAAAGGATTCCATTTTATAGACAGGTAACTATGGTTTGAATTCTTCTCCATCTTCTGTTCCTTCATCTCAGTTATTTCATATGGATTTGTTGTGTTACTTGATTGGCATCCCTCCTATCCTGTTTGCCATGGTGCAATTCCAATCCTAACTTTCAAATTTTCTCAGCTGAAATGATTCCTTCCCTTCTCAACTGCTAATACAGATAAAAATATCTTTTTACTTATTTTTTGACTGTGCCTCAGCTCTCCAACATAAAAATCCTTTATGAAACTACCACATGAGGTTGGAAATACAGTGTACCAGTTTGATTACCATTACAACAAAGTTGTCAAAAAATGTCATGCCTCAGGGTCATCAGACAGGCACATGATTTAGCAACAGAGGAATTAGAACATAAGCTCTTTGGAGGGCAGGGAGCATGCCTGATTTTATATAACCCTCAGAACTAGGTGC